CTTGTCTGAATGAAAAAGGACAAAGATCGAGGGGAAACTTTGCTGTTCATATCTCCATCCAGAAAGGCAGAAAGAAGGTGAAAGGATTCAAAATCCTAATGGGGGAATAGAGGAGGGAGGAAAGTCTGGATCTGGAGATCTGTGTGGGGAGTCTGAGTGGCAAGAAATTAGGAGTGAATCTAAAAATATACTATGTAGCTGAGAAGGAAATGCTTATCCTAGATGGTAGCACAGGAGAGAAAGCACAGTAATCCTAGTCAAGAGTTTTCCTATGACTTCTTAACTTTCTGTTGCTCGTTTCCAAAAGAAAAATACCACCTTTTTTATTATTATTATTTAAAAAAACCCCACAACCAACAACAAACACTAAACTTCTTGTTTTGCAGTGAAGAGATATATCAGGAAAGGCATCCCCAATGAACACCGTGCATTGATCTGGATGATTGTGAGTGGGGCCCAAACCAACATGGAACAAAACCCTGGATATTACCACAGACTGCTTGAAGAAGAGAAGAATGACAAGCTGGTTGAAGCAATCAAAACAGGTTATTGTCTTGATAACACTGTTTATCTGTGTTTATCTGTCCTATGTCCTTAAATGTTAGAGATCAAGTTATGTCATGGAAAACTTGCATTTCTTTAGTAGTGGTTTAAGTGCTGAATTAACATGTTAATTAGATTAGCCATAAGCTCTTTAACAGCAAAGATCTTTCCAGGTTCATCATGTGGTCAAAAGCCTTAAGGAAGATTAGAAATTATTTGGGAAGGAACAGCGAACAAACCAGAAAACATTATTATGTTGTCTCCTAAGTGGCTGAAGCATTATAACTTTGTGCCATGAGACCTACCTTTGGGTCTGTTTCTCCCTACTTCTGTCCCAATAGGACACTGGAAGAGCAGCAGGGATGGTTGAAGGTGTGGCACAGTATTGTATGAGGCAGATGAAGTATGCTAGGATTTCAGCTTGAGGAAAAAGCTGCTCATAGAGCTACATGAATTATAAATGGTGTAGAGAGGGTGAATGGGGAGCAATTATTTGTTTCTTGTAACATAAGAACCAATGACACTGAATTAAATTTGCCATGCTGCAGGTTTAGAAGAGCGTATCACTGAATTGTGGCACTTGTTACTGGAGGGTGCTGCTGAGGCCAGAAGTATGAGCTGATTTAAAAAGGAATTTGACAAGCTGAGGGGTGGGGAAATTCACCTCATGCATTAAATCCTAAACACTAAATGTAAATACCTGAAAGGAGGAAAGCATAGGAGGAGAAATACTGCTCCTCTACTAATCCAGTTTCATATGCGCTGTCTGTGAACGCTGATCAGTGGCCAATATTGGTGACAGGGTATTAGGGCAACCAGACCTTAGACTGGCCCTGTGGGTGTTTAAAAGAGGCAGTAGGAGAGGGCAGGCAAGTAGAAGTTTGATGTAACTGCTATTTGTCCTGAAACTTTTCATCCTGCTGCAGCAGAGGTTCTGTAGAGAAGCTGATACTGGCTAAATTGCCCAATTAATGAGTCAAGAGGTAGGGCAGTGCGCTGGACAAGCACAATGCTGCGGTTGTTTTGTTAGAACAGCAGGTGCAGTTGTTGTCTTTTTCATCTTGAAAAACCCAGATAGTTAAAGTTGGAGCTTTATGGACTTTTATTTGCATTGGATAATCATCTGAATGCTCAATTTCCCCTCTGCCTCTCCCCCCTAACAGCAGCACTGTGGGCTTTTGGGACTACACGCCTTAGTAAGGCATTTTGGAGCATAAACTTCCATGTTCCTATGAATATGAAGACTAGCCAGAAATCTTCAGGCTCATATCCTGCTCAGAACGAGAAACAGTAAAGCTCTAACTTTATGGATACAGAGGGAGCTACTGAGGTGCCTTTCCAAAGCCAGCCTTGCTAAGGGCCCTGGAGAAGGAGCAACCTGTATCCAGTCTGGGTACAACTGCTGCAAGAGGGAGTTGCAAACAGTTTCTTTTCCAGTACTAGACAATGACAGGAAGGGTCATATCATGACAGTAGGTGGCTTTTCACACGGGTTATATCATGAAACAAAAATATTTCTGTGAGGGAGGAAAAATAATGGAAGAAGATAAAGATCTGTTTGTGAATTATGGAGAAAATAAAGTTTTGGAAGAGCTACTGCAGAAGAGAAAACTAACAAGGAGCAAGTGAGAGAAGGGATAAAGAAAAATGGGTTGGAGGAAAAAAATAAAGAGGGCTTTGAACTCCAGAGTGAAAGATTTCCCTTCAGAAAGGAAGAAACAAGGAGAACATAGGAGGGATGGAGGGAGCAAAGTACTTAAGGTGATTGAAAACTTTGTGTTTAATAAACTCAGTGCTCCTGTTGACTGTGCAAATTTTATAGTGGGCTTTAGCTGAGGACTGTTTCAGTGTGAATCGTTGTCTGACATTCAATTTGTTTCTGCCTGTGTTGTTTTCCCATCACCGTAGTTAGTTTTAACAGCACACTAAAGTAAGATGTGGAATCTTGCTGCTGTTCACTTTTCATGTCTGCAGTTTCCAAAATTTTCAGGCAATTGTGCTGCATTTAGTCCTGCATCCAGCTATAAAGTAATAGCCCAGGATGATGCTGCATTTTAAAAAGAAAGAGAACAGCAACCACACTTTCTTATTTTTCAGGGGGAAAGGCAGGAGGACAAGGCCAACCAAAGACTGTATTTCAAATTAAATTTAAAACATGTGTAAGAGCCAATGTGTTCTGTTTGTTTTACATGCCCAGAAGCTCCAAACAATTTTCGTGTATGTTTGGAACTTATTTTCAATATGAGAATGTCTTTAATGGGATATAATCAGGTTAAAAAGTGCAGGTAGACTGTGTAGAGAAATGGTGTAATATTTAAAGAAAAATCTGGTTAGTAATAGCAATAAAAGTCTTTCAGCTAAATAAATCTAAACTGTCCTTTCACCATTCTTGCCCTTTAACTTGCTGATTCTTAACTGGTGAGCTGGCTTTATTGCTAATTTTGTTTTATATGACACTTGCTTTGAACTTTGAACATCCCTTTTTCTTTTCTTTCTTTCTTTTTTTTTTTAAGAGAGAAATTTAAGAAAGAGCAGACATTGCTCTAAACATGAAAGTAAGAGCTTAAAGAATACAGGTCTCTAAATTTTGGTGGAAATTTTCATGGCTTAGTTTACATACACATTTAGAAGGATGCGCCTTCCTACTGAGCTTTGTTGTTCATGCCCTATTATAGTAAAGTTTAGTAGGACAAATGATGTTGGCAGGATAAAATGCAAAGGCTATGTGCTAGTTGACGTAGCTGGAGTGTAAGTTGATGTAGCTTCCTTGCAGTAAGCCTCCCTTAGTCTGGGCTGTTGAATTTCAGAGTAAGTATGTCTGTGTCTGCAAGTCCTCTCATGTGCACATGCAGCTAATATCCATGTTTGCCCTTTTGCATTTCATGAGGAAGAATTGTAGGTGCTGTGAAACCCAGGATCTGATATTTATCAGGCAGCCCCCTGAGGCTGTGCTACACCTCATGACTGCTCACTGCGTGGATTGGATAATAGTTGTAGGGTCTTAATTTAGTTTATGATGGGTTCAGAAAAGTAATTCAAACAATAGTTGTTGCCACTTCACTGGAGACAGTGAATATTTTACTATCGAAGCACTAATAGGCTTCTCTGAATGGGGTTAAACCATTAGTGAAGGTTGGGAATTTTCATGTGGGTTTAGGGCATTTAACTGTGGAAGAGCAAGGGGAGGAGCAGTGTCAGCTCTTCTCACTCTCTCTAAGAGAAGCCATATCAGGTCATATCCAAATGGCTTCCTTGTCTGATCTTCCGTCTATCAGAACAGCTAAAGGAAGAACTGGAGGAGTAAAGTGTGTAGTGATACTTCCTCAGAATGCTTTTTCCTAGTCTCCAGTTATCTGTGGTTTGGGGAGTTCCTGAGTCGTATGCCGCATGTTTGTAGTTAGTAACACTGGAGGGGGAAAAAAATCACAAAAACTCTCTGGGTTCTCCTTTTTTATGTCCTTTACCTTGCTTGTGATTTTGCAGATTTGTGTTGTCTCACTCATAAGCATCTCCCTCCAAATTAAGGAGCTCTGATCCACCTTGTTTTATACTATGTATGGTAGCCATTTCATACATGTGATCTTTCTTGTTTCCGTTCTCTTCTGCAATTTCTCCAATTCTGATATCACCTTTTGGAGGTGAAGGGGGATGGAATTTATGCAGGTCCTAGATGTATATGATGGCATTGTTGTTCTTTTGTAGGAAATCCTAACGCTGTTTTTTTGATTGCTGCAAGCTATTGAACTGTTACTTGGTGCTGCCGGTGGGGGTATCAGGCTCAGTTTTTCTAGTTTTAGTTGATAGCAAACTTGACCTTAACTTAAAGAAACAAACCAAAAATCTCCAAACCTCCAAAACAATTTCTAGTTCCAGGTGTTGCAGGGAAAAGGTTGAAGATGAGTCTTAAAAATCCAGTTATAATGAATTTTATATACCCTTTAAGTATATTATTTTTACATTATTATGGTTGTAACTGATGACCTAACCACATTATTCTTGAGGTTTGCAGTGGAGTTTTTGAATGCTTGTAGTTGGCATTTGAGGTGAATTTTTGTTCTGCTCTTTACTAAGTAAAAAAGAAAATTAAAAAATTACCTGCCTGGAAGCTATTAAGAGCAGATGCAAGTTACATGTGTAGCAGTAGCAAAGAAGTGACTGCAAGTGGAATAGAGAATGTTAGCTATAAAAATACTTGTGTAATTTACTGGACGTTGTGTCTGGAAGTGGGAAGCACCTGGATATGAAGGTAGCAACAGAAAGGATGGAGTAGCAAGGTTGTCTTGTAGGTGCCTGACTTTCAAAGTACCCTAAAACATAAAAAGCACCAGACTGGTACAAAAGCATTAGTTTTCTGGACTGCGCATTTAAATCTATTTGCTCCAGAAATAGCATCAGCAATTGTGATTCCAGGTACCAAAATAGATGTCTGTTTTATAAACTGAGGCTAACATGGCTTTCTGCCTATGTTTGTATTACTGAATGAGAGGTAGAAATACTGCAGAAACAAGCTAATAGCCTTCTCGTGGTTGCTGCACAGAGGTAAATCAACAGAAAAGGAAAGCTGTTGTTTTTTGTTTCACAGTAGCGTAACACAGCCACCTCACAGCACTGAAACAGTATCATTTAAAAAGAAATTTTGAGATTTAATCTGAATGTACTGCAGAGGAGTAGCTAGTCTTTTCTTTGTGGCCTTCTTCCTGGTCCTACGCTCCTATATCTAGTTTGGTTATAGCCAGCAGATCTGCACACAACCACCAGATGGTCTTTGTTTCGGAGTTTATCTAGCAGTATAAAGTTCTAATGTTCATTTCCCTGCTTGAAAACAATTCTGATGTAGTCCAGTTTGAGGAAAAAACACTGAGGCTGTATTCCTTTGGATGCTAATGTCTGTCAAGACTGAAATAGGTTAATGGGTAGCAGGTCAGAGGGTGGGCTGCGTGGAGGGGGAGATGGTGTTTGGACATGTCCTCTGGGATAAGTGTAGTAAAGTGGGGGTAAGTGCTCAAGTCAAATGAACAGCTCTCACCTGCCCCTGCCATTTGGCTCAAGTCATGTCTGGCAGTCATCTTGCAGTATGGTAAAACATATCAATTTGTGTGCACTTGGGGAGCGGGCTGACTTCCCTCACCTTGCAGTCAGAGCAGCCTCAGAGCTGGAGGAAGAGGGAGAGCACATGAATGGAGCGGAAAGGGGAGGATGGAGAGGAAGCGGGACACCCTGCTCTTGCTGTGCTCAAGATAATAATCTGGCATAAGGAGTCCTGTGAGGCCATGCCCCGTGTGGTTTATTAAGGGAGAAGACTTATAGTTCTTGTATCGTTTTTGTCTTGTTTTGTAACCACCACCCCTGCCTCCAACTAAAATACTGTTACTAAATATCACAGAAGGGGAGCGATTGGAAGGGACCTCTAGAGATCATTTAGTCCAATTCCCCCTGCTAGAGCAGGATCACCCAGAGCAGGTTGCACAAGATCGCATCCAGGAGGGTTTTGAATATCTCCAGGGAAAGA